CCAGGATATATCGGAAACCCAAGAATAGAATGTAACAGTGGTAAGTTTTATCAAATGTAATACAAATAACATAACATAACATTTCAAACCAGAAATTTAATTGCATATCTTATACTTTGTTTACAACAAATCAATATTTCAGAACCACGAAGACCTACTATAGTTGAGTGTTACAAGGACGACGAATGTAGTTCAGAGCAATCGTGTGTTGAACGCACTTGCATCAATCCTTGTATAAACGGATGCGGCGTAGGTGCGCTTTGTCGGGCCATCGACCATAAGCCGCAGTGCTCGTGCCCCCGAGAATACACCGGAGATGCCAACTCACGGTGCATACCACGTAAGTCATTCCAAAACATAACTACTGGCTAAACACATTTACTTTTAGGTTATAACTATTAAACTACACATGCGTAAATTACATACGTCGCTTGGTTATATCTACATATATACTATTATACAATAACATTAAAGTGGAAAGAAATGAATTTTTGGATATATTGAAATAACTCAAAAACTAATAGGCCGATTTCAAAAAATCTTTTACCATTAAAAAGCTATGTTATTTTACTATTTCTATGTGGACAAAGTCGCGTGTATCAGCAATAATTCATAAAATGAATACATTTTCAATTTGATTTCCAGCATCAGACAAATCTGTATTACCAGTGGGCTGCAAAGCAAACTCAGATTGTCCACTATCACAAGCATGCATAAACGGCGCATGCGCCAGTCCATGTGTATGCGGTGACAACGCAGAATGTGACGTCGTAAGGCATCATCCTGTTTGTTACTGCGCACCTGGTTTTTCAGGAAACCCTTACACTGGATGCACTAAAGGTACGTATTTTATTGGGTAAATAAATTACAATAATTGTTAATTATTTCATTGTGTACTAAAACTCATTTTTTTTTACAGTAAGCTGCGTCTCGGATAATGAATGCCCCGACAGTGACACCTGTTACAATGGAGCGTGTGTTAACCCCTGTGTTCTTGAAGCACCGTGTGCCATCTCTGCGGAATGCTACGGACAAGCTCACCGACCCAACTGCCGCTGTCCTCTTAGAACTGTAGGAAATCCTTACGAAAAATGTCAATCAAGCGAGTGTGAGGTCGACACCGACTGCAACGACGATAGTGTTTGCGTGAAAGGAGTTTGTCACGACGCCTGCTCAGTCGAAGGTCGTAATCCTTGCGCCAGCAATGCAGAATGTTACGCACGTAATCACGCGGCGGCATGTAAGTGCCCACCCACACTGCCACTAGGCGATCCTTTGACTTATTGCCAAAGAGTTGTTATCACAGGAGAACCAGAATGCCGCATGGACGGAGACTGTCCTAGTGGCCACGCTTGTCTCAGAGATAAATGTCGCGAAGCTTGTTCCGAACTTAAACCATGCGTCGGCAATTCTCGGTGCTCAGTATCAGACAGCGTGCCATTCCGTACCTTAATATGCCGCTGTCCGGAAGGATACACACCGGATGAAAGAGGTTCATGCAAACCTGCACAACTACCATCCCTCAGTTGCTCATCTGACCAGGACTGTAGCGACAGCGAATCGTGCGTTAACAGAATTTGTCGCAATCCTTGCAGTTGCGGAGATAACGCCGAATGCTTTGTTCGGGATCATAGACCTGTATGTTCGTGTCGTGAAGGCTACGACGGAAATCCATACCTATCATGTCGCATAGTCGGTTGTCGCACTGATAATGAATGTGAATCGCACCAAGCTTGCATCAATAATAACTGTATAAGTCCATGCTTGTCTAACAACACTTGTGGAACGAATGCCGAATGTTACGTAGAAAGAAACCAACCTCTTTGTCGCTGCAGATCAGGATTCGAAGGCGACGCATATACGAATTGCAACCTTGTCGAATGTAGAGCCAACAGTGACTGTCCACAGGACAAACAATGTCACGCGCATAGATGTATCGATCCTTGTCTCTCTGGAAGTATTTGCGGAACGAATGCCATCTGCTTGGTAAGGAACCATCTCGCAGTTTGTAAATGCGACCAAGGTTATACCGGTAGCCCCTATGTCGAATGTCGACGAGAATCTACGCCACTATGCTTTGTAGACGCTGACTGCCCATCAAGACTTGCATGTCTATCTTCTAGATGTGTCAACCCATGCACAGAATTACACCCGTGCGCCACACCTGCGACTTGTGAAGTCTCTCCGACATTACCAGTTCGTACGATGCTCTGCACATGCCCAGTGGGATACGTAAGCAGCGGCGGCGGCCTTTGCCGACCAGCAACAACGATCACCGACAACGTCTGTGTTTTGGATAATAATTGTAGTGCAAATCATGCTTGCGTAAATTCCTTGTGCAAAAATCCATGCTCCTGTGGACCGAACTCCGATTGTAGAATAAAAGATCACAAACCAGTATGCGCTTGTCGACCAGGATTTATTGGCGATGCACGTACCGGTTGTTATGAGATTACCTGTCGCGCCGACAGCCAGTGCGCAGACGACGAGACTTGTATTAATAACCGCTGTATACCAGCGTGTTCGGTCGATGCTAATATCTGCGGTCGCTCGGCGGAGTGTTACGGAACAGAACATCGCGCTTCCTGCCGTTGCAAGGTGGGAACTGTCGGCAATCCATCCATCGCCTGTACTGCTATATCTTGCCGAGCCAATAGTGATTGTCCGGCCGATAAGTCATGTATTAACTCGAAGTGCGTGGAACCATGCTCGGAGACAACTTGCAACGAACCGGCCGAATGTAGAGTGCATCTACACGAAGTGTACTGCGTCTGTCCACCGGGCTATCAGAGTTCAGACGATGGCTGCATGAAAACTGGAGCTCCACAATGCGCCACCGATGTTGACTGCCCATCAGGATTAGCGTGCCTCAACGCCACGTGCGTCAATCCATGCTCGAAAACCACACCATGTGGTGATAACGCCGAATGTCAAGTGATAAATACCCTTCCCGTAAGAACCATGATATGCGCATGCAAACCAGGATACAAAGGAAATGCACTCATCGAATGCATACCATACTTAAGTACGTTATTTATATATCTATTTGGCACTTTCTTTTATAAAGTGATTTCTTAATAAAGTGCGTATTGATATGTTTTTTTATATTTTACAGCACCTACAACAAAATGCGTTGACGGCCAAGGCATAGATAGTAACGGCGACTGTGTACCTTGCAATGCAAACGAAGGTCGAACAGTAGACGGTCGTGGACGTTGTGTGTGCGACTGGGACAAAGGTTACACACCCCGCGGTAACACGTGCGTGGCCATCGGTTGCCGCACGGATGACCAATGCGACGAGCAATCGCGCTGTATCAACGGTGCCTGCGTCCACGCCTGCGAGGCGGAACCCTGCGGCCAGCACACGACTTGCGACGTCATCGGACACCGCTCGCACTGCGCCTGCATTCCCGGCTACATCGGCAACCCAAGGGTTCAATGTTACAACGCAACCACTACTCAAGATAATTACAGAACCGATTTCCCACTTCCAGACATGCAGGTACAGTTAAAAAATTATTGTATAATAAATCGTCTAAGAGCCCTACAGCAAAAACGTAAAAGACGTATATGTTAAAAGAGTATTGTTAATCATAAATAATGCGTATATTTAGGTTCACTGCCTAGCGGATGGAGTTCGAGTCAGTCTTAAGATTAAGGATTTCAACGGGGTGCTGTATGTCAAAGGATACAGTAAGGACGAGAGGTGTAGACTGGTCGTGCACACTCCAGAGAATCAAGAGAGCACCGTCGACTTTACAGTCCACTTCGGTGATTGCGGTTTAGTTCATGTGAACGTGAGTGTTTCTTTTGCATCTATCTTTTTCTATTCAGTTTATAATTAGCCTTTCAGTGGTTGGTACTAATTATTATCTAGAACAAATTGAGTATATTTTTTACAACTCTTAATTTCCAGGGTCTGGCAAGCTTTGTGCTGGTGATGCAGATTCATCCCACTCTGTTAACATCAAACGCTAAGGCGTTCCATATCAAATGCATCTACCAAACGGGCGAACAGAACGTGACGTTGGCGTTTAACGTATCAATGCTGACGACGGCGGGCACGATAGCCAACACGGGGCCGCCGCCCACCTGCTCCATGAGAATTGTATCGAGATCTGGTGACGAAGTCAGCTCTGCCGAAATCGGAGAGAATCTCGTCTTACAAGTGGATGTTCAACCATCAAGTATGTTAATTAATAATTTTACCAAGAAATCTACAAAAGCTGAAAAACTTGTCAAAGCTGGGAATGTGATAACAACATCCAATGTTAACCGCGTCAGGGTAATTCTGGCGCAAACTTCAACCCCTCTAAAGCATTAATATTCGTATAAGACGTCGAGCTTTGACATTGTGATTGTTAACAAAGTGAAATCATTAAACATTTTATAACTAGTTAATATATTGCATTCTGCACAGGTATATATGGTGGGTTTGCACGAAGTTGTATAGCGAAGACGAGTGAAGCATCGACGAACATAGAAAACGAATACACCGTAACGGACGCGGACGGCTGCGCTACGGACGCCGCGATCTTTGGAGAATGGGAAAGAAGCGAGGACGGAAGCGCTTTACGGGCAGCTTTCAACGCGTTTAAGTTCCCAAGTAGCGATAATATTCGATTCCAATGTAATATACGTGTCTGCTTTGGAAAATGTCAACCGGTAAGATCTTTTGTAATTCAATGAAGTTGCAGATTACCTATATCTATTCAACAAAATATTTGTGAACAGCTAAAATACGATTGAATATGAATTCATTCAATTGCATAAGCAAAGGCAAACGTGTAGATATGAACGCAAATATTTTTACCGTGTTTCCAGAACATTCTTTGCATCAAACATGATTGTTATTCATCACTGGAATTAAACATTGTATACACATTTTAGGTTAACTGTCGCGGATACGACGCTTTCGGAAAGCGTAGAAAACGAGAAGTAATCGATCCTAAGAATAGCCTGTACGGAAACGAAGGTCAATTCAGGGAGGAGGTAGTCGTCGAATCGAATCCGATATTGACGCTGGAACGACGCGACCCGTCGCGAGTGGCCCGGCAGCGGGACGCTGGCAGCTCGGGCGGCGCCGGCGGCGCGTCCGGCGGCGAGGTGTGCGTGTCGGCCGCTGGGCTGGCCGTGGCGTTGGCGCTGACGGCTCTGTTGGCGCTGGTGGCAGTAGCCGCGGCCGTGGCGTGCTGGCTGGTGGCGTGGCGCCGCGCGCGGCCGCCGCCAGCGCCGCTGCCGCACCCACCCGACTTCCCGAACCCGCTGTTCCAACGCTGAGCAGCTCGCTAGTCGCGCGCCCCGCTCCTCCGCCGGCGCCGGGCGGTGTCGGCTCTTCCTTCCTCTCGGCTTCAATCTGTGCGCGCCGCCGGAGGACCGCCGGGCGAGGGCGCGGCGAGCGCCTCCCTCGCTCGCGCTCGCTGCGCCCTATCTAGATTTATTTTTATATTTTACTATAACTTTTTAACATAGACTCGCCTCCTTCGAACTTTGTGATATTCATGATATAAATATTCGAAATCACCATACCTTTATGTAATATAACTATTGACTGTAGTTTATAAGCAAATAATATTAATAAATAATAATAATAATAATATTCTGTCGTTTTATTTTTGTGATGCCTTGTTTTTAAATATTTCATTTTAGCCTATACTAGAAAATTGCCTAAAAAAATAAAGTAAAATAACATTTAATCCTTTACAACATTACCACACAGTTTGATATAATAAAAAATAAATAAAACACAGTTATTAAATAATAAAATCGTAATTACAAGAAAAATAACTATTCATAATGAGCGTTGCAATGCTGACCGGATTGGATCTTCGCTCAGCTTTGTATGTCGGGTCTCTACTGAAGCATCGACTTTGTGTTGTTGTGTTGATGACGACACGACATGTTGATCTTCTGTGAGAACCCTGGGGAACTTCCGCGTGCCAGTTGCAGTGGTGGACAGGCAGAAATTATGAATTTACATACCATATGAGTAAAAAATAAAATAAACATAGATTACAAGATTCGTAGCAAGAACAGTAGCAAATTAAACTATTGAAAAACAACGTAGCGTGTTTTTATAAAGTATATAAACATCCTAAACTGAATAATGAAATGCCTCAACATTTTACTGGTTACGCTAAAAAGTATGCTTGTTATCAACAAAGGAAACTACGAGCTCCTAAACTCAGTATCGAGGGGTACTAAATTTCAAATTATACCAAAACAGTCGCTTATCTTTCTACGAAGGTTAAAAAAAGAGCCTGACAAAAAACTGGCAACCGAGTGGTGCGCTCGTCGCCACAATATGGAAGTGCGCAAATTTAACCGGAGCTAAGCTAACGAGTTAACTAAAACCGCGTATGAGGGTTCAGGGCCGCCCGAGGAAGGTGCGCTGTCGGTCCGTCGCAGCCGGCGGCCGGAGCGAGCCGGGCGAGCGGACGCGGCGCACATTACAAGGAAGCGGACCACTGGCAACGACGTGACGTCACCTACTGTTAGAAGACCAGCTGACGCCTTTTACAACGAAAGCGATCTTTGTAAACAGTATAATGGCATCACACTAGAGAATACACTTCCAAACAGTAATGTAGTCCCACTGTATATATACTAAGCAAATGAAAAACTTCAATAGCGTGATTCAGGATTTTTAATACTTTTGTTACGATTTTTATACAATATTTAAAATATTTACGTTTCAAATATTAAGTTTCTTGAAAAATATAAAAAATGAGTTTTTTCCTCGTATTTCATTGAGTTTATGAATATTTCATTTTTAACGTCCTTAGCTCCATCTGTTGTAAACCGAGAACAACTTTTGGAAAAGCCCTTGGAAAAAACAAATTCGTTGAAGTTTCCTAATATTCCAATTAGATGACGCTGAAAGTATTATATGTTACTTTTTTAAAACCTCTATTTAATTTATTTCGCCCTTAAATTTATTCATGACGTGTAATTCAGAAAAATCGATTATAGTGTGTCTAAATAATTTAGATTAGTTTAAAAATTCATTTCAAATTTAGTAGGGATGGTTGTGTAAAATCAGTCATGAGTCTTATCGATTTTTATTCTTATAGAAATTGGAATCGATAGATTTATAGTAATAACTTATGAAATAAAAAAACTGACCATAACAAATAACGAGAGTAAATAGATGTTTATTACTACTACAGTCGTACGTAATTGAATTGGATTTCGCTATTATTTATGTCATCGCTAAATTCTCTACATTATAGTCAACTAGTATTGACTTGATTGAATTATCCTCTAAATTAGTAAATAAGAAAGTAATAATTTTAGTTGAGTTTGATAATTATTTAAACCGAATATCGATAGTTCAAAATTATCGCTATGTGTATCAGTTTCGTCACTACCATACCTATCTATTAAGTATAGCATTTGCCTTCATACAAATTGAATTCGATACTTCATATGCGTCATTTATAAAACTAATCTACCTTATTTAGACAAACTATAAAACTGATTTTTGTAATTTTTCTTAATTTTCACATGAAATAACATTTATATTTATGTGACATATTTGAAAGCTGCGTTTTAAAGGACTGTAGCTTTTAAGTTAGAACAAAGCCATAGTCCCTGATTGTACATAATACAAAAAGCACAAAAGCCGCTAAGGTTTCATTGTAGTCTGGAGTTCATTCAGATTGTAGTCATGTGTTGTCGTTTTATGTTTTCAAGTGGTTTGAATCGTGACCACTTCATTCACCTACCACAGTGGGATAACTCGTTTTCTCTGACCAGGGACTTCTATAATTTCTATCTTTATCCCACGATAATTACAATACTTATATAGACAATCGTTGTAAAACATGCATTCATAATTAAATACTAATAAGATATACACCAGCCAAAATAAACTAAGCGTCCATTGTAATGGAAAGTTTTAAATCACTTTGTAAACCAGCTGTACAATAATTTATGGCAATTTTGTAAACATTTACTGCGTTACATCTTTTAACAGATAATAAGATCAGTTCATTATTATTATATTTTTGCCATAGAATTAAAATTAATAGCATGTTCTGAACCACTATTCATCATCATCTTTCTCCTTATCCTATTCCCGTAGGGTCGGCGCGACAGGTTTTTGTCCTCCATATAACTCTATCATACGTCATCTCAGTCATCATTCCCTTTTTGATCATGTCACCTTTTACGTAATTCATCCATCTTTATGAACCGCTATTTAAATGTGATAATTTATTTATTTAATGCCTTATATTTATTTGTATGCCTATACTAGCTGTTGTTCGAGACTCCGTTCGCGTGGATTTAATAAAAAAAAACAAAAGTGTGACTTCCAGACTATGCTCTAAACCTGTGCCAAATTTCATGGAGATGTGTTCAGCCGCTTAGTCTACAATCGCTAACAAATATCAACCATACATCGTAACTTTCGCATTTATAATATTTATATGATATATGATATGATATACAGCTTTCGCGCACGACTCGAAATAAAAAAACATTGGCAAAATAACCAATTTTTAAAAGTTTCTTTGCCACTCTTGATATCATTCCTATACGTTTAGACAAAACCGCGAAAACCTAGATTCTGAGTCCAGTTTGATGTATAATGCATTAAAAACTTTGTAGAGACATATCCTATTAAATATTTACGCATATATGTATGTATTTCCGCAAATTTATTTTAGGGCAAAGTATATATAACCTACGCCATTTAATATCAACAATATTTATTATTTGCATAAATATTGTATGGATTTTCGCAAAATACATGTCTGGGGCAATAACATATAATGACGTGAAAATTAAAGTGATAATTAGTGTAGAGCGACTTTGCAATTAGCGAATGGTAATGGAGGGGACATGTTTATATATTTATTGAACACGGTACACTAATGTTGTATTTGAATAAAAATCATATTTGCTCGGTGTTCGGTAATCCGTCTCATGGGGGAAAAAATGAAACCAAGTTGCATTATCACAAGATCAAAATATGACATTATGCGGTAAGTAGATTATAATTTACTAGAACTAAATTGTCATTACATTAATGATTCGCAGCCTAAATTTGTAAAAAAAACATGTAACTTTTTAACAAACTTCATTTGTTGTCATTTACTAATTCAATGATACAACGTTTGAGGAATCCTAGCAAACCTCTGAAACATTCTGTTAAAGTGAACTTACGATTTGGCATCATCTTTTCCTCGTTTCACTATTGCTTTTCTAAGAATGGAATTATTCCACCGAAAAAAATATAGTTAGCAATCTCAAAGTCTTTGAGTACCATAAACATTGGATAGCTTGATTTTCGTGTAACATTCATCATGTCATAGGATTTTTTGGTAACAATTAATTTGGAAACATCATGCTGGTGTGTTGTGATGCCAGATTTCTTTTAACAGTGAGTTCACATGCAATATGTGAACACCATTGAACGGTTATACTTATATGTATTATATTAAGTATGTATAACGTTCGTCGCAGGCGCAGAGCAACGTATCGCGGTCACCGCGGCGCATGCGCACCGCATACCCCCCTTCCTGTGCTCTCCCCACTCCGCACCAACAGTCACACTTTGTTTACCAATTGCTGCGATTGACGAGATAGTCGGTCGGTCGGCCATACCGACGTCGCTCGCTTGCGTCCGTTTTTTATTCGCCAGTCGCTAGTCGGTCGCGACGACCGCGACATCAATCGGCGCGTTATGACCCTGTGACGAGATAGCATGAGTAAAGCCGATACCTCGGCGGAAGCCGCCTTGTCGAGCGTGGCCGTCCACGTAGATCAGTACAATGAGCCGGACGAGGAGCACTCCAAGCTGCTCGAGCCGCAGTCGCTCACACCGACCGTGACGCCATCTGGACAAATACGTAAAGTTAAGAGCTTCACCGATACACACAAAATCCGTGATGTGAGTACCGCTTCTGGTGCGGCGTCCGCGCGCTGTCTGCGCCCCTATGAACAAGTGACTCCGTATCCAGAAGGTTCTGAAAGTGGGACCAATCAATATGGAGCACCCTCCGTACGATCTCTCGCGTCCATCGGCATGGGATGCACAGACGGACGTAAAATGGTCATCAGAAGAGTGCCAACGTCCCCCACGGAGTTGTTCCACTTAGTACGTCCTCCTACGTGAGTAGTTGCGCGGATATTACATATTACACGTTGCTATTATTATTCAATTGTCTTAACCAACAAGTGTCTTCCCCGCATTCTGAACCAGACGTTAGTTCAAGACAAATATTCTTGCACGGTTTCACATGTAGACCATGTGCTTCCACCATTTTAGGTATAATAATCTTAAATCTATTGTGTCGTACGTAAATCGAATTCAGTGAATTGCAAGTTTGCATAACATAACCTAAAACTACTTGCGTATTAAGGCTACAAAAATAAACGAAAGACAATTTTAAGGTTATCCTCTTAACACAGTATTTTGTTCACAAAACACATTATACACAATTGTAAACAACCACTATTTTCTGAGATAAAAAATGTTATTTAGGTAGGTCGTTCATTGTAAAAATCGTTAATGTTTTACCTCATGAACTGAATGAATGATAGCAAAAATATCTTTACAATCGTATTAATGAATAACGAAACAATCAGTTAAGCGGTAAATCGCTATTGTAAATCTAAGCAATGTACCTACATAACACAATTTTAAAACAAATCGAATGGTCAGCCTTGAAAAAACTCGATCGCTTGTAACATGATCGATATGAGATAATAAATATTAGAACTCATAGTATATAGTAAAATTATACTTATCTTTTCAATGTTTGATTAGGTACCTACGTAATTGGAAAAATAATTGATTCAATTTAAAAAGCAAATGTTCAATTTAAAATTTAATGTTAAAAACGTATGTAACAATAAAGGGAATGTATGTATAGCTATAAGATATCAAAATTGCAAGAAAGTGTATTTAGTTGGTACATTTATAATTTAACTGGGGTTCTCCAATTTTACTCATTAACTTTGTGTCTAACTCGTCCATTTGTTCCCGCAATTTCCTTAAAAAACGGTTCAGTTTTCGCTTTTCGGTTTTGCTCATTCAACGATGTTACATTTGCATCCAAAACAGATTAGTTTTTTTAATATGTTATATTATAAAAAATGTTTCAAGAAGATAATGGCGCTTGCGAGTTGAAATGCAGCCAGTTTTTTTAACCCCTTTGTAAAATGGAATTGTTCAAGAGTCTGTCGTGCTCGTGACAAAGGATGAGTAAATTTGCCAGCAGATCAAACAGGATGAGGGTCTGTTCGGGCGTTGCTATTCATACTTCATCTTAACGATCTTAACTGTCCATGAATGTTCTAATGTATTATTTTGAATATTATTTCACATAGAAGACATTGCCATTTATTCCATCTTTGATTTATTCTTGTTAAATAGGTATTTAAGCAGTTTCTTCATGTGGAATCATTAAACAATATAAACATTATGGGACTCTCTTAGTTAGTATAAAATAAGTCAGTACTTAAGTCTTTCGACGTGCAAGCATACTCAATCAGAAACACGGAAAACTCATTCCAAGAAAGACGTGAATGATGTTTTGTAATTTATTCAAACGATAATTGCACTTTACTTTTACTTACTTTAATAATCAAAGTCTAGATATCTTTTGTAATTTAATTAGCTTAGTATTTAGTCATAACTACCGTACCTACATGATAAATGAAGTTTCAAATGGCAGTAACACTCTTCACTTAGATGTTCTCTTTATCTGCAGTTCATATTACAACGTATGTGCGTGATCAGAACGACGAAAAAATTCCCACACTAAATGCATTTTGTATTAAGGCTAGTAAAGGGTAAGAGGCTTGCTAATGTTGGCTCTATCATACTGTACAAGGATATAGGAAATGTATGCGCTATTACGGGAGCATATTTTTTTTATACCCGCCGGGTCAAATAACGTTTCAGTCTATAAAGTGTTGATACGCTTATAGTCAAATGGAATGGAATGGATTTAAGAATTGGACTCCTATCGACTACCAGCATTTATCAACCTAACGTTACCAAGGAACAGATAAGGATACCTCCATAAGGAAAAAGATTAACTTCTATAGGTTAAAACGCTAATAACTTCTAAACCACTTTGTATTCTATGTGATCACGCTTTAAACTCATCTATTCAATGCAGTGCATTCTATAACAGAGGACCGATGCTTAACCACTATACTGGTTATGTTATCGTTTAACTATACTTAGATCGTATTCATATGTAAGAAGTCATGTGAATATCATAAGTCTTTGTCGAGACTGGACATATACTTCATTGTAAACTGGTTATTAGTAGGTACTCCGACGCTATCCACGATTTTTCTTGATACATGCAATGTGTCTTATAATATCATCTGTTTCCACTACGTTTTCTGGTACAGAAATTATTTTTCGAAGATAGTAATTTTTATGCGAATATTCAATACTTGTGATTCCATAGATGATGATGATGCATACATCTCGCACTGAAATTTACTAAAAGGCGCTATACAACATTATGATCTAACAATATTTACGTACTTTAAAACTATTATTAAAACAATTTCTGTTCAGAAAAACCTATTGCATAATTGTTAAGTTTTACTAAAATATAATTTTAAAAACATATATCGAAATATGCACATGGAAGCGTTAACGTTGTTTTGTTTCTATTTTTAATATAATAAGCTGTTAATAACAGATTGCCCTCGCTTGTTTGCTCACTAAGCTGTTGTTAGTTACGAAACAAACTAATATTTCATTTCTTCGTTATTAACAGTCATTTCATATACTGGTATAATTAACCCATTGGTAGAAATTTTAAATTGACAATAGTACAAAATTTTAAACACACGAATTAACAAAATGAGTAGCGATGGCTAGACTAGCCTTGTGCCAGATCACTTGTCCTAATTAGTTTTTATATTTCTGGATACTTGCATAAAAAAATAAGCGATGTTCGTCCGAAGACGGGTGAGCTCTACTTTATAGCATTGTAAAGTAATTGTTCACTGAAATTACACTGAAACAAATATACCGAGATATAAATATCAAGCCGTACATTACTAAGTACTATACGATATAATTATTTAAATGTAACATTTCCAATTATGCTTTTTCGGCTAACAATCACGTCGATAAAACGTACACTATTACCTTGTTATGAAGTTTTTAACGCACTAGTGAGAAGTAATTTACAACAACGCCAGTTTACATCTAGTTAAAGATTTAATAAGGGGATATATTGAATTAATTTATAGATTTTCTCGGAAATACGCCATTAATCAATTGACATTTATTTTGTCTGTTATTAGATATCCTTTGTTGGAATTAATATATTGAGTTGTCAAATTTATGAAATAGATAATTTCAAGTCATTAATTACTATAATGTTGACTTTAAGATCAGTATTTACTATATATATAAATCAAAGAAACTTTTTAAATAGCTACACATAAGTCTATTGCAATAATTGTCACTAATGAGCCTAACTTAAATCAAACTTATGATGTTTTACTAGTTTGAAACAATCTACTACCCACAAACGTTTTATACGAATTTATTATAGACAGCTATACTTTTCTATAAATATAACTCAAGTATCAGAATGTTTCACGCATGTCATGCAATTTCGCTGACGAGAATGCAATGGGATTTAGATGTATCAATTGTGAAACGATAAACACACAATTCTTAGGCAATCCTTAAATCCTGGCTTAGTTGTGGGATATTTGGCCGACTTGACCTTGACGGTGCCGGCCGATAGCGCTGCATGTCTTTATCTGCTCCCGCGTATCACAATCCAGATACACAATTGATCGTGCGCGAGCTCTTATCGCTGCCTATTTGATAATGATTTTAAAAAACGTTTACGTACTTACCCGTTGACAGGTAAGGATTACCAGCCGTCCCAATAGTACCAAAACATTTATTTACCTGCACGACGAGATAGGAAATAGTCCACATATCTCCATTCTAATCATAATAGACGAGAAATTCAAGCATTAAATCTTGATTGGTTTTATCAACGATGTCTCTAGGTGAAAATATAACCGAATTAGGTTTTGATAGACTTTGTTGGTTACAGCACTCCTAAAATCCAATAAGACATTACATTTTATGTATGTAGTTAAGTTGTAAAGATACTGAATCTTACATTTACCGTGAAATATACAAACCAAACTTCTTAAGTTCTACGTTGCATTCTTCAACGCATATCAAATATAATCAAATATATACAATATATTGTGTACAATAGAAGCAATCATCAAAGCAATAGTTAACAACCAACTATATGTTTGATCCCTCTAAAGAACTAACAAAGAACAATGCCTTAAAGAAGAAAAGAAGAAAACAATCGAGAAACAATTTGAATTTCCTGTTACCTGACAAGAAACAAACTCAACAAGTTCTGATTTTACATGGTTCATAGAATGTATAAATACGTGATGCCACTCCTCTTAGTTTTATTTAAACAAACATCAAATTCAAGGCGAGCGACAAGCATATGCAAAAAAATATTTAAAGCGGATAAATTATTACAGTGTAATGCCTTCTATTGTATTAAAACCTTTAAAATAATTACTTAGGAAATAAAAAAATTCAATAAGTGAAGCAAACATGCACATACCTTTATTTATTAAACTAACGTAAAACGAGAATCGCTGCAGTCAAATACAATGCAAACATACTAAATAAACATCGAGCTAGACGAAGCAGTCATCAAGAACGATAGACATTAATCTGCTAAGCTTTACGACCTTCCTTTAATCTAAAACATGTAACGGACATCCATCTTAATCCAAACAACTTTCAGTGCTTATCAAAGCCTATTTGCGTATATACGTATAATGGCGGAATTTTACAGCATATTGATTACGTAATTCCCATAATCTACAACTGCTCTTTACTTTTTATAGGATAGAACACTTATTAGAGACATACTTGAATTACCCCAGTTTTCGTAAGATAACTATAACTAGCAATAACACTATAGCTCTAGGTTTCAGAGCTCAATATTAATTAAGTTAATCTTAACCATAATCGAAGTTAGTCATCGTAGGCGCCATTGAATTGCCTATTTAAATGTATTCATCCATTTCGTAGTAATATGGGCAATTTCGAAAGGTAGGGATTACCATTTAGCGAATTCCTTTTTTTATATAATATAAGGAAACGAGCAAGCGGCCACCTAAATCCACCGAAATGGAAAGCGACCGCCGCCCATAAACACCCGCAATTGCAGATGCGTTGCCTACCCTTGATTGACAGAGGAGGAGACGCACATAAAGAGGACATTTCCCCTTCCTATGCGTCTCGTCCACCATCAAGTCCACTTTTCCTTCCCATCCTTTCCAGTTAAGAACAGGGTGGAAAGGGAAAGGGACTAAAATTAGGCCTCCGGCACCACACTCATCAGACAAAAGGCGGAATTGTTCCCACCTCACGCCTGTTTTCTGTGTGGTCGTGGTATTTCACCGGGTGAGTCGACCCATTCGTGCGAAGATGTTAAAGAGAGCTCTACCACTGTCAATTCGCAACTCTTAAACTTTTATATTCATAGACTTCCATGTAGGTTTGTATACTTCATCGGTTAAAAACACTCCTTATATTACTAATTTGATTAATGTAACTTATTCTGAGACCTACTCGTAACCATTTCGCTAATATTTCTATTCAAACGTTTTTGCATTTGTTAAATTTTTTTTTGTAATTATTATCAATCAGTGAGTGACATCATTCTCAATGATTGGAGCTATCGATCGCTTACTTTTTCATTGTCAAAAAAAAATTATAACATACCACTATATCTGAAACTAGACTTACAAGTTAAATGAAAAATTTCCCAGCAATACAGAATAGTTACCAAATTTTACATTACTAAGTACTTATTTCTTGTTTAATGTTTTTTGTAGATTTCGCTATGATTTATGGCCCTACATTTCCTTCGAACATCATGTATAAAATCTGGACCTAATTTTATCTACGATAACAAAAGAAATCAAGGTCTAGATAGAATCAATGAAAGTCGTTTGGACTTGTTGCTGGAATAAGACAAGAGCCTGGTTTAAACTATAAACGTACTAAAGTGTAATGAAATATAATTTTTATTATTAATTCGCATTTACTTATATTATTGTTCCAGTTAGTATCTGATAAATCTTGACAGCTCAGCCATGATATTATATTTTCTAATCTTCCATGAAAACGTCAACCACTTAATATTATTTCAAACATTTGCACTTGAATTTTAACGATATCGCGTTATCTCCCAATTTAAATAAGATAAACAAATGTCAACATAACGTACATTTTTATACTAACAATAAATTTAAAATTGCAACAAAGTTGAGCTCGATTACCGTGGGTTTCCACTGCCCACTTATGGTGTAGTTGCCCTCAAGTTACAGTACCTCAGACCACGATACGTGCACTGTAACAAAATATCGTTATGTCCCTTTTCTTAAAAAATCAGATATGTTTTGTATGTTTAGGCAATAACATGAACACCGTAATTAACTTCAACACTCAGGCTACTAACTCTCGCCAGAATGGCGCGCTATTCTAATACATGGGAATGACATTGACAGATGTCAGATAGAACGGGATGCCAATGATCTAGTATTGCCTCGTTCTACTGCGTGGTACCGATTATCTTCTTAACAGTATGAAGCACGATTAGATACAAATATCATAATCCGTACGAATTAACTTAAAACTCCTCTGAACCGCGACTCTATTCCCGACGCCCGTCTTCCGGACTGGTCATACGCTCAGTACAGTTTGATATTTTTTGGGAAAGGCATTAGTATATTATAGTACTAATTCTCCTTCACCCGTTCCAAGAACATTTTATTTACACAACCCACATTCAAAATGATGTCATCGGCCAGGTCTCAACTTAATTCGTACGGGTTTGTAGTACGACAAAGCTTAAACGAAGTTACCAAGTTACGACCGGTCATGGATCGCTGAGCAGTTTATCACTGAGTTACGGCGTACGTAACGGTTTTCACACGATTACACAGAATATCTTTCATTGCAAAAAAAAATTCAAATCATTTTGTTAACCATTTTTTCATATTGATAACGCCTAGTGTTTATATCAGACATACGTAGATCTAAAGGTATTTATGCTTGGCTTTTGTTCAATATCCATTTTGTTCTAAATTGAAAATAATGGCTTTATTCAAACTCGATTTGATTGATTTTTATCAATATAATAATGTTTTGATGTCAAATACGATATTTAATACCTTTAAATGGATCAATGTACTAATACTAAATAATAAAATAAATCGCATCATAAAAATGCGATAGACTTGGTCTAATGATCCACAAAAATCAAGATAATCTATCAAATCGATTGCCTACTTTGTATCTGATATGACGTACTTTGAAATTAAAACCTAATGACGTTAAAAAGTATACCCTTTAAACAGTTACATGAAAAACGAGGTTTAAACAATAAAGAAGTATAGCTATATCTAAAAAATAAAGAAATAAAAACGAAAAATAGATAATTTCTTCCAGAAGGTTACTTATCTTTTTCCTTGCGTGCTAAGTTATGCCACTCTCCCTACTGTCACCTAAAGTCATTTTATAGGTATTGTACTCTACACTTTCGTTCTAATAAGAGCAACTTTTTTTCCTATAATTCTTAGTTTAAGATTACTATGTTTAATACTAATCGGACACACAATCTAAACTCGAGGTAACACGAGCTCGTTATAGGAGCGTAATGCCGACACTAGATATTCCTGTTATTAATATTTCCAAACAATTTGCAGACCTCCTGATGAGGATACTGCGTCGCACGAGAGCGACTGCGACGAGGAGGAGGAGGATGACGAGACGGTGCACTTGAAGCCGCGCCGACCCTTCTGGGCCAACAAGATACAGTTCGTGCTAGCCTGCGTCGGGTACTCCGTCGGCCTAGGAAATGTATGGCGCTTCCCATATCTTTGCTACAAAAGTGGTGGTGGTAAGATATATGAATTAATGAACTTCTAATTACAGATTTTAAAATTATATTAGTAAACTAGCGAACCGTCTAAACTTCGTCTGCGTGGCAAAGAATATTATATCATATTTAGATGGAATAAAATATTGCCTATAAACAGTGATAATGTAGCTTTTTAACGACGATAGAATTTTTAAAATAAAATACATTAGTGTCGGAGTCTATTAAATGCCTGTTTCTGTCTGCATCTAACTTTTATTCGATCTCTAAGTGTAGTTGTTAATTAAAATTTGTTCAAAGCTTGATTATTGTAACAACATTTTAGCTTAGGTTATGTTAATGAAAAAATATAACATTTAGTGGTTTGTATGTGTTATGTCATTCACGATAAAGATAAATGTGATTATTGTTTTAATCACTAATTAGGTTTTATGATACAAAGGATTATAAAATGTCTTAGGAAAAATGTTTAAGGATCTTTTATAAAGTTTACAAACAAGATTGTGTAAGATAGAGCTAAAAGTATGGTCGTTTTAAATCCAGTTTATAATTCGTAAATGACAAATATAATAATGTAAGTTTGCAATGCAATTTGTGACATCTACCAAAGTAGAATGCATTTGCGAAGGAGTGGGTTAATAGACTAGTGGACTTTTATTTCCTAGCCATTTCTGTGAATTGTCATTTGAAATTATACATGTAGGTCGTAAATTCATAACAATATACATGTATGCTAAATTATAGCACTTATAGGGGAGGTTTGCTTTACAATATACTAGCTGTTTTTCAAGATTTAGTCCGCGTGAAATTTAAAAAAAATAATAAAAAGGTAGCCTATGTTACTCACTAATCATTTTAGAGTTTAAATACATATAAAAATACGGATCGTTCCTTTATAATATTAGTATAGATTATCCTAAGTCTGACTCTGCATGGACACCTCTTGGCTCTTTTGATTTCGTAAAATGTTTAATACTTTAGATCTAATTGTTAGATTGTCACATAGTTTCCATACGTGACGGCTTACTTAATGAACATGTAACGTTCAATCAATAACTGTCAACTCAGCGGCCACACCTACAATTTAGTGATAGTGTCGTGACAAATAAATTCACAACAATTAGTATTCAGATCATAACAAAATATATTTACGTAGTTTTGCGTGAATGTGATACATAATTTGACACGACTTGACGGAATTCGCTAATATGTTGATAGCGAATACAAGTGTTCTTATTAAATCGTGACTACATTATAAGGCGTACGTACAGAACTACCTATATATGTTAATCAGTGTTACATATTGTCAACAAAAGCCTACCTCACAAACTGAAGTAAATAGCCTGAGATCTATTTTTAACAGCCCTATACATCGGTTAGGTAAAATAATTGTTACTTAAAAATGTATAATTTATTTAGATAAATAAATATTTTTGCTCTTTATTAGCTGATCCCCTGCGGCTTCATCCGCATAAAATTATAAAAATTTTATATTATAGTTTACGTTTGTCAAATTATCAATAGCAAATGTCAAAATGACATGACTTGACAAACCATGGTAACTCTGCTTTCTTAATGTTGGTAGCTTGTAATTTATGGTTCCTTTCCTACATGAAGGTTTTTTCCAATTCATGTATCCCCCAAGTCTTATAGCGTAAAAAGTGTATAACATTTTATTAAAGAAAGTATTATTCAAAATATGCTACGATTGCTGACACCCTTTGCTACGCCAGTGTGTGTTTACGCTTCATTATATTAGTATAGATTTCTGTACTATATACATATTTATAACACACGGCATTAACTAGGCGGCTGATAATAAATATAACTAGCATATTCCGCATCGATAGCATTTTATCAATTATATTATATACCAAACATGGCGATGATAAACGTGAAACTGTAAATAATACTTTGAAATAAACCGGTATTATATCTACTCGTATTTTGCAAAAACTTATTTTGCACACTTCACTATAGACTCCGTTATAGTTATTCACTGTCCTGTTATATAAAATAACCCAAATGTAACGTTAATATTGTTCAATTATTTAAACTCTACATATTCTCGAAACCGAATTAACAAAATCCTTGATAACATTCAAACATTCTTAATATAAAGTACTTAGGACAAATTAATTTGACATTTTGCTACGAATTGTAGCTACTGTCGACTCGCTGAAACTATAGAACTGTCCGCTCGATGTCGATGCAAAGATCAGAGAGAAGTAGTCGATGGCATCTGCAAGCGATACGTCACGCCGCCGCCGCGCTCGCCTCCACTCGAGATATCAAATGATTTATTGCTTTGATTTGTTGATACGTCATTAATTTAAATACACAAATATAGAAATGGCACCGATAGCGACGGTAACGTTGCCTCTTATCGCGAAAGTATTTTAAAACCATAGATACTCAGGAAATCTTTGCGATTAACGATAATAAAAGTTGCAAAATCCATTGATTGGAAGTCACGCGCTATGACTAACATCTCTGAGAATATGATGGCGTTGGATTTATTCACGATATGTCCTAAGCCAATAATTCATGTATACTTCCTACGCAAATCCGGATGTCCGATGACGTTTAATAATACTACAAATAAGGCATTATTCATTCATTGTCTAAAATGAGTTCGTTAAAATACGTATTAGTCATTTCAGAAATAACAAAAGCAAATTGTACCTATTACGTATTTATGAGTAAAACCGCCAAAGATATGTTACGATTAGATTAAAGAATAACACGTTATCGATTGTGGTATTTTTTTCTATATTCTAACCACACATTCAAAGTTATGCAAAAAGAATATTGCACACGTTCCATATCATGCCGTCTCTGTCTTCCATATTCAAATATCACCTTTCTCACAAGGCACAAGTAACAAACATAACGGCGAATCACAAAGCGTCTCGAATGACTGAAACACGGGCCTAAATAATCTATTTAGCAAACGCCGGCTTAATTACGGCAGTTCTTGTAGGTCAATTCGATGATACGAAGGATACAATTGGTCTTGTAATTACGCCATTACAACGATCAAGAGCAATGTCATATTTTACTTGTAGTACAGTCATACGCAGCTGTTATATACAAGACAAACTAAAACGACATCACAATAATAATAATACAGAAAATTAAAACGAAAAGTTAACTAAAGAATCCGGTACTGTATCTATGGATATTTCTGGTCTCGTGTCCGTTGCCCTAAAAACCGGAATACAGAAATACACACTGATGTATATCCTTCCAAACGAACTATTCGAAATAGTTTCTTAAAACTGTTTTTAATGTTGTATGACTGGGACAAATCAATTTATATCAGTAAAGTGTTGTAATGAAAGTTTATTGCCGTTATTACGTATAATTGAAAGTATTAATCATTGTATTTCAGGTGCTTTCCTGATACCTTATTTCATAATACTGTTAATATGCGGCGTGCCCATGCTGTTCATGGAGCTAGCCGTGGGCCAGTACACGGCGCACGGCCCCATCGGCGCATTGTCACAAATATGTCCACTGTTTAAAGGTAATTTACTTGTAAAACCGTCTATCACTTATCATACCAAGCCCAATTCTTAGTATTTATTGTAAGTAATAAAATAATTAAAGATAACCCAGCGACTGTGTGATATTTAAAAATAAAATAATTATTATTCAGGAACTGCAAAGAACGCAATTGATTAATTCAATTTCGAAGAGTAATCGTATCCTGGTTGCATTAGCATTTATATCTTGATATGAAATCATTTTTCAAAATGGGTTTTTACATGTTATGATTATGATGGATGCAATACAAATGATACTCTAATGCATTTAAATAAACATTTGTGCTTGGAAATGTAATTTTGTGTCCAAAAGTAACGTTCAATAACTTTCAGGTGCCGGACTGGCTAGCGTGGTGATCTCCTTTCTTATGTCCACGTACTACGCGGTAATAATAGCATGGGCTATCTACTATTTCTTCACGTCGTTCAAATCTGAAGTGCCGTGGGCGAGCTGTTCCAACCGATGGAACACAGCGCAATGTTGGGTGCCCTTCCATAACCACACCAAACCCAACGGATCTCAAACGCCTACCGAGCAATTCTTCGAGTAAGTTTTTTTCATATCTATACGACTCTAATTTAATTTAGAAAAGTAGTTTAAATCAGTAGTCTGCGCAAAGTTCTTGTTACTTGGTACTGTTATGATTTTTACTGCTTATTTTTGTTTAATGCTTTCCGGACTACGGAGGCTACTACACTGTACGATGAATATAACATGGTGAGGACTAAAGATTATGAGACGGAAACGAGATTAGCCATCTTGTTTTCTGATAAGAATCACAATCGCTGCACATTTTATTACTATTTGAAAATTATTTACATTCATTTCATTCAAATTATTTTCCAGAAAAAAAGTTTTAAACATTAGCGACGGCATCGAATTTCCCGGTGGAATGCGATGGGAACTGGCAGCGTGTTTAGTTTGCGCGTGGGTGCTCGTGTACTTCGCACTTTGGAAAAGTATCAAATCATCTGCGAAAGTACGTTACATAACCACGACACTGCCGTTCCTTTTGATCATCGTGTTCCTCGGACGATCCTTAACTTTGGACGGAGCGGATAAAGGGCTAAGGTTCTTCTTCAAGCCGAACTGGGAACTTCTCAAGCAGTCTAGGCCCTGGGTGAATGCAGCTTCGCAGATATTTAATTCAATAGGCATCGCCTTTGGCTCTATGATAATGTTCGCATCGTACAATCGCTTCGACAACAATTTTCTGCACGATACTGTGGCCGTGTCGCTGGTGAACGCAGTCACCAGTCTTATTGTGGGCATATTCACGTTCGCCACTATTGGAAATATTGCATTCGAGCAGAATACTAGTGTAAAAGATGTCATTGCTGATAGTAAGTATTAATCATGGTACAAAAGTATGTAATTAAGTTCACCTTTAAACGCTTTTATTTAATTACCTCTTATTTGTTTCAGGCCCTGGTCTATTATTCGTGGTATATCCACAAGCTATAGCTAAAATGCCAGCATCTCAATTATGGGCCGTTCTATTCTTCTTCATGTTCCTGTGTCTAGGTCTCAACAGTCAGGTAATCATTTACTTTTTGTCCCATATTTAGATATTCTCTTTGTGCTGTTAATTACGTTTTTACTTAATTTCAGTTTGCAATAGTCGAAGTGGTGGTGACGTCGATACAAGATGGCTTCCCCGATATGATACGAAAGAGACTGGTGTATCACGAACTGCTAGTTCTTTGCGTGTGCATGGTCTCCTTGGTATTCGGTATACCGCACATAATACGGAGCGGTATATACGTATTCCAACTGATGGACTACTACGCCGCTTCGCTCAGTATAACTTATCTGGCGTTCTTCGAAGTGGTCGCCATTGCTTGGTTCTACGGTGTGGGTAGACTTTCGAGGAACATTAAGCAGATGACAGGTAAATTAAATTGATTTTAATCTCCTTCTTATTTATTAGCTCTATATTCATGCGAGAATATCTTAAAATTGTACATTTATTCGCCAAAAAGTTTTAGCCCACAATTTAGTTTGATAGGTATTTAAATTCATCAAAATTATACCTATAGTGGTAAATCATAATTAACAATTAACAGTTATGACCGCTGCACACCTAAAACGCAAACCTTATACGTTTAGTACTGAATCTAGCAGGATTATGTTTTTATCAGGACGATGAAAAAAGTACTCAGAAAAATTGCTTAAGTCTTTTTATCAGGGCTTAGTATAAGCTTAAAATATTTTCCAACACAATTCAAAATGCAATGAAAACAAGTTTTTTCTCGTTTTATTTGGTAATACCTATGTCGTTTACTATTTAAATTGTATGTTATAAATCAACAGGGAACATTTTAATTTAGTTTTATTTAGTTTCGGATTAAAAACGTGTTTACGTACATATTGTCTCCATTGTTCGTCACACGGCTTTGTTTGAGTACACAATTTATATCGGACATCCGCTTTAAACAAATAAAAAAAATATCAACTTATCTTCTACAGTCGTATTGTTAGAGCTATCTCCTTATCACGACGCTCATCGTTTATTACGGACAATTTCACGAAACGGAACGAAATTCTATGGATAATTAAAATAAATTCATTGATCTACGAGTACCTTATCATAAATATTCATTGTTATTTCTCATCCAATACCAATCGATACTTTATCGTTTAACTCTTTTAAGGAGGACTATTACTAACGTTAACTACAGCCACCTCCT